TGAACCCAAGGCCTTCACACTGAGTTATATCCTCAGTCCTCTGCCCAGTTCTTAACTTTAAAACAGTCTCATTAAATTGCTCAGGCCAGACTTCAACTTGTGATGCACCTGGCTCAGCTTCCCAGAGTGCTGGGTTATAGGTGTGTGCCACCACGTCAGCTAAAATTGTTAATTTTATGTTAAGTGAATTTTGAATGTTAAGTGAATAATGCTTTGAATATCTTAGGATTATTCATTGGGAAGCCATACGGAAAATATGGATCACTTTAGCACCCCACAAATTATGTTGACTTTATACATCTGGCCCTGGTGAACCGAGTAGACTTGGGTTCAGGGAAGGGATTCTCTTGTGAGTTTTTACTGATGCCATTTTTTTCTGCTCCTCCTGTTCTTTCTGTTATCATAAATATGTCTGTCACTGTTATTTGTAAGAAATTTCTCCCAGACATTTGAGCTCCAAAAGTTCCCATTGTCCCCTGTGGAAAGCAGCTATCGATAGCAGGCCTTGCTAACAAATTCTGTTGGAAATGCCACTCTGTCCTGGGTATGTAGCTCAGCTGCTCAGGTTTCTGGGTCTTATTGTTTTCCAAAAGAGTTTTAGTTTTAATTTGCCCATGCCTTCCTTCTGTCAATAAATTTTAATATAATCATTCATGTAACATGTTTGTTATCTTCTTTTTTTTTTTTTCTTCCAGTACTAAGGACTGCACCCAAAGCCTGCACACTGAGCTACATGTCCAGTCCCTGTGAACATTTTTTGAGACGGAGGCTTGCTAAGTCGCTAAGTTGCCCGGGCCGGACTGGAACTTTGGATGACAGGCACGCACCACCACACGTGGCTATACAGTAACTCGTCATCTTGGACGGTGTGGGGACTGGGAATGTAGCTCTGTGGCACACTGCCTGCTCAGCCTGCACAAGGGTCTAGGTTTGATCTCTAGAATCCCTCCCCAAAACAACGACATAATAAATTAAAAACAATGTGTTAGGGGGTCTATTTTGTTTTGTTTTGTTTTTTGTGGTACGGGAGATGGAACCCGGGAACAATCCACCCCTGAGCTCATCTGGACATTCTTGCCGCTGGGACACAATCCCCAGCACATCTCACTTAAAGGAGGAGAGGTTTGTTTGTTTGTTTCAGTCCACAGTTGTCTGGCTCCAGGCAGGAAGGGCTGGCAGAGGAATGTCGTTCATGTCACAGTGGCCAGGAAGCGGAAAGGGAAGGGGCTGGGGAGGGAGATGGGGTCTTCCTGGTCACGCCCCCATGACCCACCTCTAACCAGCCCCCACTTCCTAACAGCAAGTCAGCTGTAGCTCCCCTGTAATTCAGTCACCTTCCCAAAGTCCCATCTGTCAGCACATGATGGTCTGAGGGACATCTAGATATAAACCACAATACCTAGCCCTTCTTACTTTGAGACAAGTCTTCTTCAGTTGCCCAGGCTGGTCTTGAACTTGCAACCCTCCTGCAAGTAGCTGGAATTACGGATGTGTGCTACTATTCCCAGGTGGAAATTTTTATTTCTATTCCAGTGAAAGGAGATGCATGGAAAGAAGCACCCCCTTTGGTTCTCTGACATGGATGAAGTCATGGGTGGGACTTTGGGGAAGTGATTGGGTAATGAGGGCATGATGACCCTCAGTGGCTTGGGCCGCTGATGAGTTTACAGCTGCTTGGCTGTTAGGAGGTGAGATCCGGTCAGTGGAAGTGGGCCAGTAGGGGGCGTAGCCTGGAAGGGATTATTCTTCGCAGCCTTCCTTTCTTTCACTCACTCTGCTTCATGGATGCCATTCTGTGAGCAGTTCTGCCAGCCTCCTCTGCTGCACCGCCCTGCCTCGGGGCCAGCTGACTATCTCATATCAAGGTTTCTGGAGGCCAGTGGCTCAGGTTGGGTCTGATCCTTGAGCGTTGATAAAGTCATCACACACCAGAGCCACCAGTGAATCTGCCTCGCTGCCTTGCTGGCCTCCTCACACTGATGATACTTCCCCTAGGGGTTTCAGGGTGATGTCTTAGTCACTGTCCTCCTTGCTGCAACAAGATACCCGACACCCACAAATGAAAGGAGGAGAGGACTATTTTGGCCCACAGTCATAGAGGTTTCAGTCCACAGTTGGCTGACCAGAGCCCATGTCAGAAAAGCAAAGGGAGTGCTTTGGCACAGTGTAGAATTTATGCGTTAGGAAAACCTTCAGAGGATATTCTGGTTCCAAGTGTAAATAAAAATAGATTTTAAAATAAGTAGTTTGTGTTCTGCTTTCCTTAGACACAGACTTAAATGGTAGAAACTATAGAGGCGTGCTCTTAACTGGGTTAGGAAAATTATACACCGATCATGATGAATTCTTATAAACTTAGTCCAACCTCTCCCCTACCCCCCAAAAAATCTCTCATGGTATATAATTTTCTTTTCAAAGCTTTTTTTCTTGCAAATTGCACAACCTTCTTGTTAGTTTGCTGAAGCAACTTCAGCACACATTTATAATCTGGCTAAAGAATCAGCCCTTACCGAGATGTTATTAAACACATACGTACAGTCACAACAAGGTTCCTCTGGAGTTGGATGTGCTCAGTTCAGTTAGTGATGGTCACAAAGACTCTAGGAATAATTACGATTTTCCAATGTGCTTTCCGTAGGAGAGGGAGAAAAAAAGCCCAGCCAGGCAGAGCTCGTGAAGATTGCTGTGACCCTAGCTGTCCTCATGACAAGCAGGAAGTCACAAACACTGCTCTCTGTGGCCCTGGTTTGTTGCTGGAACCGTGCCAAGACATGGTGGACAACTGACCAGGTAAGGATCTGCAAACTGCATCTAGTTCTCCTGACCTTGGCTCCGACCCCTGGCGTGGCTTCCTCCACTCCTCCTGCTGGGGCCGTGGGTCCTTTTCCCTGACACGGGGACAAGGTAGTTTCTGAGTTGGAAACGTGTCCAGGAGAGGAGATGCAGGGGGGACCATGGCAGTAACTCGGGAGGGGCGAGGGACACCCAGGACATCGCCGCCAGCTTCCCCATTTAAAAGCAGCGTGGGTGGGTCAGATAACCACAGCCGCTCACCTCCCTGCTCTGTTCTTCAGTGCCCAGTGAGGCCCCTAGAAACCGCACGGGTTATTGCAGCAGAGGGAATTCACGGTAAGGGCGGAAAAGGCAAGAGGGAATTGCCAAGGAAACACGAGGTGGTAACCAAAGCCAGCAGGTGCCACCTGCGCCGTGGCTGTTCACTAGAGGGCGAGGCCAGAGTCGTGGGACCCAGAAGCTTGGAGGCGACGCAGACTCCAGAAAGGAGCGGCAGGGGCTGGCAGCTGGAAGGAGCCTCACAAACGCTGACGCTGACAGGGAGAGAAGGCTGGGACGCGGAACCAAGTGCTACTGTCAAGACCCGGGCATTCAAGCTGGGCGTGGTGGTGCACGCCTGTAATCCCAGCACTCAGGAGGCTGAGACAGGAGGATTACTGCGAGTTCGAGACCGGCCTGTGCTACAAAGTGAGTTCAAGGCCAGCCTGAACTGAACTGCATAATGAAACCTTGTCCCAAAAAGGTTAAAAAAAAAAAAAAAAGACCCCGACATTTCCAGTGACAGCCAAGTCCTGCAAGGAGCGTCTGGCCTCCCTCCTCGGGTGTGGAGGGCGTTCTCTAGCGCTCTCTACTGGTGGAACCTAACGGTGCACTCCAGCGAAGCTGAAAGAGGTGTGCAGAATCCCAGTCCCAGCAGCTGGGGGAGCCAGCAGAGTTTTCCACGTCTTTCAGCTGTTAGGAGCGTACTTGTACATATTTTTATGACTGCGCGCTCTTTTGCGGGGTATACACCTAGAATGTACTTAATGGATTTAATAGATACAGATACTAACCATTCCAGTGGGTGCTTTGTGGTATCTTTTTTTTTTTTTTTCCGGTGGCGAGAATCGAACTCACGACCTTGCGCTTGCCAGGCAGGCGCTTTGCCACTGAGCTAAATCCCCAGCCCCGCTTTGTGGTATCTTGCGGTTTCAATTTGCATTTTTTTGTTTGTTTTTTTGAGACATAGGTCTCGCTGTGTACTCCAAGCCTTCCTCTAACTCGTAGCAGTCTTCCTTCCTCAGCCTCCCGAGTGCTGGGATCACAGGCATGTGCCACCACGCCGGGCTTCAGTTAGCATTTTCTAACTTCTAATGAAACACAGCATCTTTGCAATTGGAATATTCTCTTTAGAAAAGTGCTTGCTTAAGCTTTCAGTTCATTTACTATTTGATTGTCAGTCTTATTGCTCTTTGGGGATTTTAAATACATTCTTCAGAAAGTTTTTTTTTTTGGTGCTGAAGTTCGAACTTGGGGCCTTGTGCATTCTAGGTAAGGACTCTACCACTGAGCTATATCCCTAAATCTTTTAATAAATTTTTGTTTTGTTTGGTTTTCTGGGACAAGATTTCACTATGCAGTTCAGGCTGGCCTTGAACTCACTCTGTACTGCAGGCTGGCCTTGAGCTGCAGCGATCCTCCTGCTTCAGCCTCTTGAGTTCTGGGATTAGAGGTGTGCACTACTTTGCCTGGCATTGTTTGGATTTCAAGACAGAGTCTATGTAGCCCAGACTGGGTTTGAATTCATTGTCTTCTTGCCTCAGCCTCCTAGGTGCTGGGAATCCAGAAGTTAGCCGTCTCACCTGGTTTAACATATGCCCCCCCCCCCCCGCCCGCCGTGATCAAACCAAGGAGCTTCATATTGAGCTGCATCCCCACCCCTTTTTATTCCTTCTTTTGAGACAGGGTCTCACTGAGCTGCTGAGTTGCCTAGGCTGAGCTGGAACTTGTGAGCCTCCTGCCTCAGTTTCCCTCAGTCTTCCTACCCAGTGGGTGCGTTGTTAGAGAAGAGTGCTGGAATTCTACAGGTGTGCACCACTGCATGCAGTTAATTATTTATTTTTCGATTTTTTGGATTTTTTTCCTGTACTGGGAATCAAACTCACGACCTTGTGCTTGCCATATTTTTTAAGCTAATATATTACTGATCCAAATCCTTTTTATTACAGATGGTGCCTGACTTACAACGGTTCGACTTAATGATGGTGCAAAAGTGGCACACATTTTGAATCTCCAGCTTTTCCCAGGCCGGTTGTCCGCCGCACCATACTCTCTGGCACTGTTCAGCTCCACCAGCTCCCAAACAACCACACATGAGGCAAACAACTGGCACTTTACAACGTGCAGTGTTGCTAAGCTGTGATGTTCGGCAGGTTAGATGTGTTGCGTCATTTCAACCTACGGTGTGTTTAGCTGGATGGAACCCCACTGTAAATCAAGGGGTGCTTGTGCCCACGTACTAGGGGTTATGGATAAGCTTTGCTTAAACTTCTGGCTTCTGCTGCTGGACCTCCTCTTGGAGTACATAAGATCCTGACAGTTGTGTGCATTTGTGAAGGCCTCAGGTGCAGTGGCTCTGTCACCCAGCCATACCCAGAGGGTGCACCGTTAGAGAACAGATCTGTGTTCCCACAAGGATCACAGAGCTGCAGGGGCCCCCGCAGCCATCAGCCAGTGAGCTGGGTTTTCTGGGACTTGTGACATGGAAGCTATTTTCATCCAACTTGGACCCACACCAGAGGTTCTGAACCACCAAAGCCTTGATATAACTGTCAAGTTATTTAGGCCAGCTTGATTTATTCAACTTTTTTTTCCCTCCTTCCAGTCATCCTTAATTGTTTCTATTCTGGTTCCTGGATCATATTTTTTTGTAATTTTTCCAAGGTTAAAACAATCATCTTTGCCCCTTTATAACTTCTCAGCATATTTAATGACCCAGGCTCTGAGTTCTCGCTTCTGTCGCCACTAACTCCTCATTGGCGGGCAGCTCCTGCCTCTTTTGAGGATCTCCTGAGGCCGCTCACAGCCCCGGAGCAGGCTCTGTCCTGTTTCACTGCGGCTCTGCAGCCGGGGCAGATGAGACCTGAGGGACACGGGTGTTCACTCCTCAGTCTTCTCCTCAACAAAGCTCTTTCAGTGGCCACTGGCTGGTGCTGGAGGGGCGACGGGATTCTCTGGTGAGGGTGTGGGGTGCTGGTGCAGGGCAACAAGGCCGAGCTGAGGGAGTCTCTGGGGGCTCTGTCCTCCTCGGAGCCTGGGGTGTTGGGAGCAGCCAGCCTCCTGACTGAGATCTGGGAGGTGGGCTGGGCTGGGCTCCAGAGGGCTCCAGAGGCCTCGCTGCTCTGCAGACTCAGAAGCACCTTTACCTGCAGGGCGGATGCGGGGCCGGACCCTGAACCCTCAGACCATTTACCCTGTGCTGCCAAGACTCCTCGCCCTCCTGCCCTTGTCCTGTCAGAAGCGGCTTTGCTGCCGAAGCCACAGCCAGGTGGGAGCCTCTGTCCCGCGATCCCCTCCCTTCCTGGCC